GATGACCAATTCTCATTATTATTGAGAATTTTGCCAATGTTCATTTCAATATCACTTACCTCCAGCCATAATTTCAGGCTGATGTTTCTCCACTGTGGGTTTTGTTCATCCAGCCTGGCTGAATGCCAGCTTCTCATGATCACTTTTCAGACATCTAGCATTTCTTCAGTATTCAACATCTATATGGAAAATGGGTGGGATTTCTCTTGAAAGTAATTCACTGTGTTCTTATTTGACTTGCGCTAATTTGCAGAATGGTATATTGTCTTTTTACAAACGTATCTACAGTTGGTTTGGATTCAAAATCCACAGCTAATAGGAGCAGATCTACTTACCTGTTCAGGGCCAGACCTTATCAGTTTTTAACCTCAGCCAAAATATCCATGTTCCTTCTTCCTCTCAGAAGACATGTCTCTACTTTTAGAATAGGTTATGAAATATTAGTGTATGAAATATAAAGCTAAGAAGTTATTTCCACATTACCAAAATACCTCTTAAACTTTTGATAGACTTTTCTTTCTTATCCTGTATCATTTTCCCATTTACCCATACTTTTCTTTTTTTAACATAGAGCCTAGAAGAGAAAACCATTGTTCAAGATGATAAAGAGGTGATCTTGAGCTCAGAGGAGAGTTTCTTTGTTCAAGTGCATGACGTTTCTCCAGAGCAACCTCGAACCGTCATCAAAGCGCCCCGTGTCAGCACTGCACAGGATGTCATTCAGCAGGTGGTCGGGACAGATCAGATGTCAGCTGATCTTGTGACTGAAGTTCTAGAGTAATGGAGATCTGCAAAGGCAGATTATGCCTCTCAAGATTAGCAAATATTAGTTCATTCCTTCAATAGATACTTGCCTGGCATCTACGAGTCTGGCTCTCTATGACACGTTGATAAGTTTTAAGAGGTGGCTCTGCGGAGTAATAATTTCCTTGTCCCAGAAAGTCCTGCAGGAGGCCTACATGACCCTCCTCCAGGCCATGCTTCTTTGTGTGCATGGTTTTGGGGAACTACATTTCCTTTCTTCAAAGACTTGTCATAGTTTGCACTCATTCAACACCCATTTGAGAAGCAATTCTGTATAACGGCTAACAGCACAGGCTCCAGATCAGATTGCTCCAGGTTCAAATCCCAGCTCTGAGATCTTGAGCAGGTTATTTAGCAATCTGTGCCTTAGTTACAGTGGTATGCTGGTAAACTGGCTATCAAAAAAAAATAAAAAAAAAAAAAAAGCCTTGATTTGTAGCATTTGCCAGTTTCTGTTATGTAAATACCTTGGCTGATTTCTGTTCAACTTAGCCACTCCAGTTGGCTTCAGCACACTACTGTGTGGCACGTTACGACAAATAAACATGGAGATAGTATAACAGTACTTCCCATAGAGTTGTACTGAACATTAAGTCAGTAAATATGTGTAGGCATACAATGCCTAGCACATGGTAAGCACTATTTAAATGCTATTTGATATTACTGCATGATAATTTGGTTAATATTAACCTCCTTAATATGCTTTGAACTCCAAGAGGGCCAGCAATGCTTCCTTTGTTCACATGTGTCCCCATAATACAGTATCTGGGACTTTGTAGGCCTTCACCAGACATTTGATGAGTAAGTGCATAAATGAAAGGCAGTCTTCCCCTAAGTGAGAAATGAAACCAGGTGAGTTTTAATATGCCTTCAACATCCAAACTTTGTGATAAAGAGGCAACCTAATAGGACAGCAAGGCTCCGGAGGGTCAGGATTCTGTGCCTCACTGTTCGTGTGACCTTCATGTCTATGAACTTCGGTGCATGCAGAAAATCTAGTTCAAGATTTTACATATTACTTGTTAGCTGTGCATCCTCTGGAATCTGTTTCATCTCTGTAAGCTTAAGTTTCCTGAAATAGGGATAATAATTCCTAAATCATGGGCTGCTGTGCAGATGAATAAGGTAATATGGGAAAGTACAATGTTAAGCTAGAATTATACAAATATAAAATGAGGAGTGGGATGATGTGATCTGAAAGCTCCCCTCCTTTTCAAAAAGTCTATGACATTTTTCCACATTAAAATTTATTTAGAATGAATGCAGGTGTTGGAGATGCTGTGTCTTTATTCAGTTGATCATACTTATCTTTCAGACTTTATGCAAAGCCAAGTATTCCTACAGCATCCTGAGCAACCCCAACCCAAGTGACTATGTGCTTTTGGAAGAGGTGGTGAAAGACACTATCAACAAAAAGTCTTCTATCCCAAAATCCTCCCAACGGGTCCTTTTGGATCAAGAGTGTGTGTTTCAAGCCCAAAGCAAGTGGAAAGGTGCAGGAAAATTCATCCTTAAGCTAAAGGAGCAGGTGCAGGTAAAATTCAAGATTATTTTGTTTTCTTCACAAATTATTTGACATCCATAACTACATTGTAATCAAATTTGGGAACTAGTGAAAGGTAGGAGAAAGTTTCTGAGCCAAGGAATTTTGTTTGAGCAAAATTGTTTGGCCTTGCTTTCACTGTGAAAAGAAATGCATTCCCCCCTGGTGAAGCAGTCCTGAGAGGGGGAGGCCCTCTGCACTTCTTTCTAAAACTCTACTTACTAGAGAGGGAAGAGGAAAGTGCCTTCTGATATGGTGCCAGGTGACTGAGGATCCTGGCTTTAATCTAATACCAATAGATGGTTCTTTTTCCTCACAGGCATCCCGAGAAGACAAGAGAAAGGGTGTTTCTTTTGCAAGTGAACTCAAGAAGCTCACCAAGTCAACAAAACAGCCCCGAGGACCCACCTCACCTTCTCAGGTCTTAGCCTCAGAAAGCGTCCAAAACAAGGAGGAGAAATCTATGGGCTGCATGTCCTCTAGTGACACCATAGACTATCGACAGTGACCAAGGGTGGCACATCTTACCCAGGTACACTAAGTCATGCACAGCTCTGAAACAGGGGTCAGTGTATACTACTCTGCAAGACACAGTTTGTACAGAATCTTTTGTCTTCTCCAAGAGGAGGTTATCTCCTGAAGGCACGTAGGAATGGTACCTTGAAACAGTAAAGGGCTCTGAAGATATGTGTACTTTAGGCATTTATAATTTTAGACACCCTTATTTTGTAGATAACTAAACAAAGAGCCCAAGAGGACAACCAACTTGCCTTAACTACTATATCAGCCTGGGCCCATCAGACAGAACTATCTTAATTACTGGTAACTCACATAAATATTCTTGAAGGGCTGCTTCCATTGTAAGCATGTAAACATACATGAAGGGCGTGTTCCATTGTTGTTATAAGACCTGAAATGCCCAAGAGACCAGCAGCATAGTAAAACCATTGCATCTGTGTTTATTACCATCAGGAACCTGTTACATAAAACTACAGATGCTCACAATTAAAGAATTTATTGATACTTCATGACAAATTTGATTCATAACAGCCCAAAGGAAGGCCCAATACATTTAGCTCATCTTTCTACATTTGAGGAAAAATTCCCAAAGTAATTAGTGCCCCATGCTGTAACAAAGCTCTTTGAAAACAATAGATAAGGCCAAATGCAGAAAACAGCCTCCTTCAGGATATCTGTATATCCTACTATTCTGAGAGATTCAAGGTTATGTAGGTTCTTTATATAAAGGTTCATCAGAAAGAAATGGTAACAACGCACATGACGTGGTGTCAGGTAAGAGCTACTAGGCACAGACAGTGAAGCTCCGGGCTGTACCAGCTCTGAGAAGGTTCAGCACCCATTTTCTGAGGAGATACATTTGGTATCCAATTTTTTAAAGTTCCAGACTCACTTTATTTTCTGCCCCAGTATCACTGAGACCATTAGTGCCTTCTCCAAAATCCAAGTGAGCTTTAAGATTAAGCACCAACACTGAGCCTCTCCAACTTGTATAAAATGACTCATCACAGTAGTCTGTAGACATGCCATAAAGACTATGATCAAAATTTGAAAGTTTTCCATATCAAGAACTTTAGCATTGAGTAAATCATAGGTGTGATAACATTATACACACCTCTGTATTATAACCTCCATAATGACAGTGAAGTTACACTCTGCCCATTGTGCTATTACACTAAGTACATAAGAATATAACCCCACTAGAAATGTGACTTTAAAATGATATGCTAGCTATAATGAGTATTATTAATTGCTTACACTTTAGGAGAACAGAGGTGTTGGTGATTTAGATGAAAGCCTTTGGACTCCATTTTCCTGCAGCAAACAGACATTCAGAATCATGCAGTGGATCTCAGCTTTGCTTAAACTTGGGGACATTTTTCTTTAAAAATAGCCATTGGCAGTGCATCTGTGGGAATATATATCCCATGTTTTTACTGCTTTCTAAGTGACATAGTATTTCTGTGTGTGTGTGATACTTGCTTTATTGTCATGGTCTAGAACAAAACAAAATATCTGAGGTAAGCCTGTACATAAAGTCTTAACATTTCCTTAATATCAAATATCCAGTCAGCGTGCAAATTTCCTACTGCCTCATAACTTGACACAGTATTTGTTATTTGTCCTTTCATCTCTAAAATCTCAAGAATTACCCCATAATAATAACCTAAGAATTTCTCTAAACAAGTATTTACCTTACTCTTACCTGAATAATGTTTAAGGAATTCTACCTTCTTAAAAGTTGAAGAGTTTGTGATTTAAAAAAAAAATCTGAAGAATGTGGTGTTCCAGGGAAGAACTAGCCTAACGTTCTACCTCCTAGGAACACTGTGTTATAATATTGTGAGTTTACAGGAAATAGTCTCCCCTGAACCCAGCCATTGAGCTGCGGGTTACTGTTGGTTGAATAGCAGGAAAACCCTTGCTACACTGTAAATATTTCTGCTCCTTTATTTTAAATATACTAACAAGCCTATATATACAATTCTACAGGTGAAGATCTTTTGGCAAGAAGTTAAAGTCAAGAATAAACATGATGGAAACAAATATAATTTCCTCATTTTCATTAGATTTAAACTGGAAATTGATGATTGATGAACTGAAGCCTCCATACAGGTTGTGAGTTCCATACTGAGGACAAGCAAAATGGCACAGGACTGGCTACCAACCAATTTCCTGATGAAGGAAGCAAAAAAGCCCATTTAATTAATGTCAACAGTTGGAAGAAGCACTAAGCTTGCAGTAAATGACTTAGAGCAAAGGTCAGCCAACTGTCTTTAAGTTTTTGCCTTTAACTTTTTACGGGACATATGGTCTGTTACAACTACTAGGCTTTTGTAACTCAAAAGCAGCCAGACAACATACATATAAATTAGCATGGCTGTGTTCCAATAAAACTATTTACAGACACTGAAATTAAATTTCATATAATTATTACTTGTCATAAATATTCCTCTTTTGGGTTTTTAATCATTTAAAAATGTAAAAACTATTCTTAGTTCAAAAGCCATACAAAAACAGGTGGCAGGCCGGATTTGACCCAGGGGCCATGGTTTGCTGACCTGAGAAACCTGGGAACAAGAGGCAGGCATCTGTGAACAGGCTAGTTTGGTCACACATCTTAAGGATGAGAATTGGTAGCTTTGGGGCATTGCAAATGTAAATACATCCTAAAAGATTCACTAAAAAGTAATTCAATTTAGTTCCTGTATTGTGTACCACAGTGTACTTCCTCTTAAGGGTTTTTTACATATAGAATGATGCTGGGGTTTTGTTTTTGTTTTTAAGATTATTGCTTATATATTCACAGATTATTCTACTTTTGGTTTTCACAAAATGAATTTAGAATATTGTATAATTTTAACATTACTGAGTTGTGATGTCTTAACAAGAAACTTAACCATTTTTTTAAAGCAAAAGTAGATTGAGTTGGTGTTTAAATTTATTTATTTTTCAAGGTTTGTATTGACACTGTACTAATATATTTATTATACAGTTTTCTTGATATCACTTATGAAGTAGAAGCATTAGTGGTTCTATCTATTTCAAGACAAATCTCCTAAAAATAAAAATACATGCTCTGAATACCTGAAATGGGCCAGAATTTCATATAAAAAAGGCTTTCATTCAATAACTGAAGAGCTATTGATCCAAGTCATACTTGCCATTTAATATAAATTATTTTTAAAACTTCACTGTATAAAACTATCATGCAAGTAAAGATTTCTTCTTATTCTTGGTATGAAGCAAATTATGCTTTTAAAATGAAATGTGTGTCCCTCTAAAGTAAAAATCCAAATTTTATCTATTAAAATTTAAGACATTTATCTTCAAATTACAAAACACACCGAAAAGCCTAACCTTTGCTTTGGGAAGTTTTTACCTGTCATAAAAAATGAATAAAACAGCTCCCAGGTTCTTTGCATATTCTAAAAACAGAAGTGTTAAAAATATTTTTCATGTTATCAGAAGTTCTGACTCCAAGCCTTAATGCTAGAACCACCACTTACTTGTTAACAGAAGTCAGGCTATTCGAGTTTGATGTTTGTACAGTGCTACAGGTTTCTTTCTAACTCAAGTAATTGGTCTGTAACAAATGAATAATGCTGCCCTGTTTTAAAAAATATTCCAGAAACACTTTATCAAGCTTCTGTAAGCCAATAGGCATTTGCCTCTGGTTTGGCTTAGCATTACTGAAAACTGATTACTGGTCTAATAAGCTAGTCAAAGAAAACTGTGCAGAGTAACACATGAAAAGCAAGACTGGTGTTTCAGGTTTATCAGTTGACCTTGACTCTTTACGAGCTTCATCTGCTACAGCACAAAATCTGAATCTTACTGTGAAACTGAATGCAAAACTGAGTTTTAGCAAATGAGTGAACACAGCTGATCACCTCATGCTGCAATCCAATTTGGTTGTCCACTCTGTTTGAGGGGAAAGTACATACTCTATTTTGAACTGAGACTTTAGGAAGAGTACACTGCTCAAAAATATAAAGGGTCTTCTCTAGTATTACAACTAACCAGCACCCACTTTGCGTTTGCCAAAAATAAGAAATTTTTACTTATAGCTAATATGAATTTTAGCTATATCAGTATACCAAATGAAAGAAATTAGCCTATTTAGAATGCATCTAAGATAACTATCCAGGCTATAACTATTACTACTTCATACTTTTCAGACTCCTAAAAATGTGGGTAGCAAACTTTTATCAGTGAAGTTGATACAGAAAAGAATCTAAATAAGCAAGCTGGGTTTATTACACAATTTAACAAAAAATATTTTAAGAGGCTTCACTGAAAACAAAATGAAAAGGAGCTTGAGTTCTCAGTGTGTTAGGCAGTGCCAACGTGTAAGAACATTCCAGCTGGCCAGAGGGGATTAGAGTAAGAATCCAATGTGCTGTGTGAGCGTGGAAGAAATAGATGAACTTTCAGGCACCTGCTCATTTGGAATTGGTTGCTTTGCAAAATATAAAATTACATGAGGGTGTTAAGGAATTGAGCATAAGTTTGAGGATAAATTTATAGGAAGTAACAATACTATTTGGGCAGAAAGTACCCTCTCAAAGGAATGCCTCTCTTCATGTCATCCTTAGTAAGTAGAAATTGTTTATAAATTCTCCAGTTGGTGGTCAATACAGAGTTTAATCTCAACAAAAGTGAGTTACAGATGATCGTTTTTTATTTGCTTTCCTACAAAGGCCTCCCATCCAATGGCTCTGGAGACACTGGAGGCTCATTAGTGGAAGTGGGCCTCCCCTGCCGCTACAGACGTACTGTCTTTTTAGGACTACATCTTCCCCTTCCTCTGCTCTCTCCCTTTCCAATTTCTGATCTTACACTTGGCAGAGTTAAGAGGTAGCCTAGAGGGAGAGTGCTCTCTTGATGGCTGCCTCTGACCCCTTTCAGATGCTTCTCTCACATCAGCAACAAGAAAAGAAGTGAATACCTGGGCCCCAAAAAAGTTATTAGAAAACAGAGGTTGCCTCTCACACAAAGTCTACACTTGGGTCAACATTTCCATGATACAGCGCACTGTTAACAATTTATGTTTTTGCCATCTCTTTGTATCTACTTCCTAAATGTAATCTTTGGCTGATGGGAGATTTTGACAAAGGAATATCTAAAATGAATTTTTTGAAATACTTACTGAATCTCCATGATTACCAAGCTATTCACATACATCTCTTAGATCCAAAACAATACTATGCCCAAGCCTGACATCAAGCAGGCTCTAAAGCCTTCCCTATTTCAGATGTCACAGATTTCAACTTTGAAACAACTCACTCTGACACTGATTTGAGTAATGTCATATATTTTTAAATGTTGTGAATGATTTGATTCAGCATGCAAGACCATGGAAGACTGAGGTTATATGTTATGCTGTTATTACCCCACTTCACTTGTAAGTGCCTAGCACAGTGCTAAGCACATAGTAGGTGCTCAATATTTGTCTAGTAAAAATGAATATTTAAGGCTGTAGCTTAGCATAGCCTCAAAGTGTGTGTATGTTATTATTAATGACTACAGCCATCTCGTTCTGAAAATGAAACTCATCAATACAAGACTACATATGTTAATGCACAAGTATATTTTATCCTCAAATTCGTGTAGGATATTTAAATACTAGATGTATACTTTTATGGTCTCATTGTGATTCTCTGTATGTGTAACAGGTTAAAAACATAATACAAGTGTGCAATAGTTGATGAATTTCTACTTTAAAATTGGTTTTTCACCCAAACTATAGTTTCTGCTGCCAAAGTGAAATACAAATGTATTTGTATATGTTTGGAAAATAAATGATTTGTGACATGTATTGGTTACTTGTACTCTAATGGGGAAAGACCCTTTAGTCATCCAAACAACTATTCATAACATTCGTGGACTTTGCTTTATATCCAAAAGGTAGGTTAAAAACAAGTATTTATATGGTGAATCACACATTTATCATCATTAAATAATCAAGCTTAAAGAAACTGATTTTAGAAACATGTCTTAAAATCACATATAATATGCTAAAAGATTAACATGCAATGTTGAGCTGATATGCTTCACTCTGCTGGTATAATAAAAAAAATCTCTATTATTTACTTCATGAGAAAAAAAGCTTTAAAATCTATACCAAAGTAATTGCCTTCTACAGCTTTGAAGAAATTAAGAGATCTATTTAATTGGACCACTGCATTTTTTTTAGTTCTCAGATCACAAGAATAGGAAGCAGAAAAAAGCAGCTGTTTTACTTAAGTATTCAATACTTATGAGCTGGTCATTAAAATATTTATTTGCCATGCCTAGAATATAGCAATAGCTATTACATAAAATACAGCTTATTAATTATATTCATAAGAAGAAGCATTTTTTCTGTACCTGAAAAAAAAAGAGAAAGAAGGGGGGAAAAATTCCCTTCACTGGGTATCCTTTATCCTTAAAACAGGGTAAATTTCCAGACTTGGTTTTTCTACGCAGGAGCAATTCTTCCTCCATCACCCTCTAAAGCATGTCAGAAAATGCAAAGAACTTAAAACTCTGAAGAGACTAGAATCTCATTCAAACTTTGAAAGTAGCCACAATAAACACTCATTCATTTTTAAAAAGGCCAAATTAGGTTACTTCTTGAAGTGTGTATTATCCAGCAAAAGCCAATGAACTTGGTGTCTAATTTCAAGCTATTTTTTCTTTTCTCAGAGATCCACATAAAAACTCAAATTTAGAACTTTTCACTGTTCCATCCATAATGTTGTAATAAAAACAGACTTTATTTGGTTATAAAGAGTAGATGAATGGTAAAAACCAGTTTCACAGTCTTGATTTTTCTATGCCCTCATTTTAATCTAGCAATTGAGTTTCAATTAAGTTTGGTTCAAAGACTTTAAAAGCTGTAGCTTAATATGTATATTACATTTTCAAAAGGCAACATCACTAAGAAGGAAATTCCAAATATCAGAGGGGGAAAGGCTTTTGATTCCCCTTTCTTCATGGAATATTTTCAGAACTGGGGCAGAACCCTCTGCTACTCAAAGGAGATTAGGAAGTTTCCCTTGTATAAAAGGAGAAGATCCTAAGGTAACATGTCTTTATGTGCATCTATACAAACACACAAATATATTAGAAAGTCCACTGACTCTTCATTCTTCTATTACTGTAGTGAAGTTTCCAAATACTTGGTGAAATCCAAAGGCAACTAAGTATCAACTTCATTGCAATGTCTTTTGATTAGTTGATTTAAATCTTTATTCAAAAATGAATCCCCTTGTAAAACTTTATCCTGAAAAAATATAAAAGAATGAATTAAAAGTTCTTATGTCATAAGCAAAAGCCACGCTGTGAGCTACTAAGCTGAAAGTGGCAATAGCCAACACCTGGCCAACACATGAAACGTAACAACAGTGCTGCGTCAGGTCTTGGACATACCCTATAGCAAACAGAAAAGTCTCACAACTGTCTCTATGGAATTCCAATCCCAGAGATCTCCATCAATTCCTAAACATGGAAAAACTACCTATAAAACAATTAAGGACGTTGGAATAACTTATTAAGAGACATTTAGGTTTTATCTCATCTTTAAAAGAAATGATGAAAAGTATCACATACCTTCCTTTTGGAGTTTAAAGATTCAACAGGAGGATTGAATGTCATTGCTCCCGTGCTGTAAGTCTCAAAAAGCTCTACAGCAGATCTATAATCACAAATATAAGAAATGTAAAGACACGCTGTGTAACATGAAAATAATTAAGTTGTATCCAATTATTCTTTATATCCATATATGAAGGTATAACATAATCCTGCTTTTAAAACCAACAAATCAATACACTCACATTAAATAAATCCTAAATTCCCATGTAATGACATTATCCAACTAAATCCACCTAAAAGAGGTCTAGTATACATTTAGAAATACAGGCCTGCACAAAGAGAAGGCTGAACGGAAGATTTCAAGTTCATTGTGATTAAATCTCAGCTCAACCAACTTATATGAACAATATGCAACTAAGTTTAACTTAGTCACAGAGCCGGAGGAATGGAGCCTGGAGTTAGCCTCCACAGATTTCAAACAGCTCCACCCTTCAGTTTTTGGCCTGAATTAAAAGCAAGGAGAGGCCATTCAGGACAAAATAAACGTTTATACCATGGCATGTAAATGAACCCTTAATGATTTGGGATTGGTTCACATTCTTCAAAGGAGACTGGCCAGGGCCTGCAAGGGTTGCAATTAGGGTCACATCCCAAGCTCCCCTCTCCAGGCGAAGACCATCATGAGTCTCCTTTTTCAAGCCTTTGGCATAAACCCATTCCTCATCTTCCTCCAGAAAAAGAAATCTCTGGCGTAAATGAGGCCAGTATTCAAGATCTCTGATGAAAACATGCCAGAAAAGGATCATGAAGAAGGAAAGTGACAAAGAATTGTTTTCTCCTTTTGTTCCCTTTAAAAAACAAGGCTGGGGACAGGTGGAAAGGAGAGAAGAAAAATAAGGCCAAAAGTTATCTCTATCCAGAAGGAAAAGTATGGAAAACTACAGCTTTTATGCCTCATTTAGAGGAGGAAGCAACTGCCTATTGCCATGTCAAAATACAGACCTAGTTTTGCAAAATCTCCCAATCTTCAAGAAAAGCTGGAAATGTGTCTTTTAAGTGAATTTTTCCAATATTTAGAAGATAGCAACTAATTCCATGTTTGTTTAGACTCTAAAAAAGCCAGAAAATCAGCCTGCTGGCCTACAGGTCACTTGTCCATTATCTCTGAATTAAAGAAACCAGTGGGCTTACCAAGGAGAAAAACCTACAGTGAAACATTCATTCTGAATAGTGAGTACATTACAAGTGTATTTTTAGTACCATTTTCTCTTCTGTATAATTGAAATATTTTCTTAATGATTTTGTGAGAAGAAAGGTGATCACTATTTTTTTCAACTTTTCTCTACTTTTGAAATTTCTCAGAAGTTGGGGGAGAAAAAAACTTCTTTTAGGAAGGCCCCTTTCCCCATCTGGAAGCATGTAAGGTGAATGCCGGAGGTACCAGGTCCAAGCTCCTTGCAGGTCAGGAGGCACTATGCAGAGATGGCTGTGGGGGCCAGAGAGAGAAACTGCTGCCCTCTGGGTGGCAGTCCAAAACACTTCTTTTCTCTCCTCATTTGTCCCTTTGTGGCTCTAGCAGGACATTTCGGGGACTGGAGGGTGCAAAGCCGGTGGGGAGGATCTCACTGTGGTTAGACTTGTGGATCTTCACATAAAGCAAATATGGCATTATCTTATTAATGAACCTGAGTGATGAGAATATGGGAATTTACTAATCCTTCTACTTATCTCTCTGTTAAATTTTTATTACAAAAAAAGTGTTAAGTGATAAACCCAAACTAACAAAACTACAGTAAGCATGTTTTCTCTTTAGAAAAGGTCAGGAATATGAAGTGAGACCAAATCCAGATAACCAAGCACTTTACATCTTAAGATCTGTTACTTTATACAACAGACTTCTCATAGTAAATAGCTACAAACTGAAACCAACAGTTTGGGAAGTATTTGGTGATGCTAAAAACTACCTTCGGCTCAACTCTGGTTTGAGGGCTTCAGAGCCTTCAGAAGGTGCTCCAGCGATCAGGTGAGCTGCAAATCTCTGCACTATGGGATGGTAATGCTTCTGAAGGGGAAACAGGACAACCACATTTTGCACAGGTCAGTACTTTCTAAAATGCTAGCTTCAGCTAAGATTTTCTTTCATAAACATTTTTTTAAAAAGTCCTATATGTACATGTATTTCATAAGAACCACATATCTACAGAAAAAGTATTATCTTTGCTCACAAGATCATAACACAAATTTGTCTGATAACCAAGTTATCAGTGACATAGCTTAGTCTTGCCTTTACAGTATGAAAAGAAAAAAATCAAAGAGCAATTTCTCTTTCAGACTGAAAAGAGTTAGTTTACAACAGGTTTCCTAACACATTTTCTATGATTCTCACTCCAATGCTGTCCATAGTATAAGATCAACAGAGTGACCTTGAAACTGAGCAGGCCTTTGAAGCCTTCTTGGATAAGATCCAATACAAATGTGCCTGATGACAAATCTTCCACTCTGAATAGTGTTAAGGAAGGATTTCAATAAACCTTCCAAACCTCAACGCACAACATTGCTTGATGGCGGGGGTCGGGGGCAGCAATCTTACCCTTAGTGCATGCAATTCCCAAAGAGCAGTGTTCTGGGCATTACAGTATTCAGGTTCATCCAGCTCAGGAAGGAAGACCCCACTTCCCTGAGATTCATTGTCAAGCAACAGATCTGTTTTAGGGAAAGTCTGCAAAAATGTCACATAAAAAGGATTTATTAATATTGTTAAAGAATGTTACTGGGTTCTGTGCTTTGATTTGCATTTAAGTTTAATTTGATTTTGTGATTACATAGAAGTTATAAGCATATGGACTTTATACCTAATTTTAATTTTAAAAATTTAAGTTTATACCATAGGGCACAAGATTTGCAAAATACCATTTTATCTTAGCTTGCTCTGAAAAGAATTTATTTTACCTTACAAAAGAAAATACTTTTTATCCAGCAATCCAACTTTTAGGAATCTTTCTTATTGAAGTAACTATATGAGATACACATATAAGAATATTCACTGTATATATACAGAGAAGACAAGTAATGATTCTATATTACTACGCTGATGGACAGTGACTGTAATGGGGTATGTGGGGGGGACTTGATAATGGGGGGAGTCTAGTACCCATAATGTTGTTCAAGTAATTGTACATTAATGATATCAACATAAAAAAATAAATAAAGGAATATTCACTGTAGCACCGTTTGTATAGTATAATGGAAAGAAGCTATATATTGATCAAAAGAAAAATGGAAAATATAAAAGCCAGACTGCCTAGATTTGAATCCCACCTCTCCCAACTTACTAGCAATGTAATTTTAAGGCAAGTTACTTATTCTCCCTGCACCTCAGCTTTCCTTACCTATAAAATGGGAACAATAATAGGAGCTACTTCACAAAGAAAGTTATGAAAATTTAGTGACTTTATTTTTGTAAAGCATTTTGAACAGTGGCAGGCAGGCAGTAAGAATGATGTATTTGTTAAAACAAATAACCATATCTAGTCATTAAAGAAATAAAGTAGTTATATTAGTACTGACATGAAAATGTGTTAATCATCATTAAGTGTTGGAGAAAAAAGTTGTAGAACAACAGTATATACCATAAGAAAAGTTGTGTTTTGTGTGTGTGTTTGTATGTGTGGTGTATGTGTTTATATATGAATAAAAAAAATCTGCTGAAAGGATACTCAACAAAAGGTAAAAAAATGCCTCCTCTGGAGAGTGTTAATAGAGCTGGGAATGCTTTCCTTTTAAAATTTTATGTACTTTTATCACTTGATTTTGCTACAAGTGTGAATTACTTTTGTAATTAAAATAATGTAAACAGAGGAAAAAGACACACAAACAAAACACCATTGCTGCACTTTGAAAACTTAGTTCTATTCATTTGTATCATTACTTACATGCATTAATATTCTGTTAGTTGCTAAAATGCCAATGCTTGAATTTGGAAGAACATGAAGAGCGAGGGTACAAAGACGCTTGACGAAGGCAAGGGCTCGCTGCTGAGAAACCTGCTTTCTGCGTTTAGTCAGCATGACATCGAGGCACTGGAGTACAATCCCCACACCCTCATTGGTAGCACCTAGAAGAGCACAGATACCCTTCAGGGCTGTTCTTGTTATTTTTTCATTATGCAACTTCACTGACCTCCAGAAAAACCGAAGATGAATCTCGTATCTGTCCCAAACCATTTCCCTAACCAAAGAAGTAATGCTATACGGTCAGGAGATGCAGTGGGTTGTATGCCACCTCCCATCAATCCCGAAGCGCTCTCCCTCACATGAGGTTACATACAGATGAGCGGCCCTGGCAGGCCACAGGTCACATACCAATTCCTACTTCTCATTGATTATAATACCAATCACAACATTCTTAAAAGATAAATATTGATTAAAGACACATTATCTAAACCTACATACCTGCATGTAACTTGAAAAGCGTTTTATAAAGATGTGTATAGAATTTCATTGGATCGATATTCAGAACATCACCTTTGAAATTACAACCAACAATTAGGTATGGTACAGCCTCCAAAGGTAAAGCAAACAGTATGTGATTAAGAAAGTATCCTACCTTGCCCAGAAAGAATATGAAAAGCAGTCTGGACACAATGAAGACTTTCTTGATAGCTTAGGTCCTTTAAAAAAGGGGGAAGAGGGGGAGGGAAAGGATATTAAGAATAATAATTATCATGTCTATCTTAAAAAGTAATTCATTAATAGGTACTTACACCAGACTCAATGAGGGTATGTAGAACCACTAATAAATCATCAAAAAACTCCACATTTATAAGGTGAGCAAACCTAGAATCAACCAAAATTTAGTTAATAGGTGACCTGAAAACAGAAATGAAGCAGCTAAAAATTAAGTTGGACTTTAAAACCACATTTTTAATATTTCTTATTTCAAGATGTGAGCTATGATGGAGACGGTAGTGATTACTGATACATTTCATTAATTCGGATTGCTCTTTTTTACAATTCAACCACAGCTGGACACTATACTGAGCAGGAATATGAAGCACTAAAACTGAAAATATTTCAAAACCAGAACTGCCTAAGAAACAAGTTGCTAAGAACAAAAGATTTCCCCAAGGCAAGTTTACCAGGTGTCCAGTGCTGTTCTAAGTCATAACGGAGCCAGCCAGCAGCACAGCTTCTAGGGAAGCGGGTGGTAGGAAGTGGGGAAGGAGGAAAGATTCTGCTATTTATAATAGGGACCCTATGAAAGAAGCTTTAAAAATAAAATAGAATACTGGACCTGGTAGTTAGTTCAGGCTCTGCCATTAATTACCTGTATGATCCTAGGTAAGTACTGCCCTGGGTGTATATTCTGAGAAACAGAACTGAAATCATTCAATAAAGAAATAGAATCATGTAAGCTATTAAATGTGAGAGCACTCTATACACTATAAAATACAAGGCACTGAAGTAGTCAGGATATCTCTTCACTATTAGTGCAAAAGCCTTCGACACTATATAGACCTTACAACAAGAAAGGACCTTAGAAGTGATGAATTCCTCGTGTCTGGTACAGCCTTTTTAAGAAGCAATTTGGCAACATTTATCAAAATTTCAAATGAGCACACCCTACCCTTTGACTTGGCAATCTATGCACGTAAGTGCATCAAGATATTTCCAGGGCATAGAGGACTGGCTAAACAGATACATAAAATGGGCATATTATGAACTTAAGAAGGAAAAGAAAAGTGGACCTATATATACTAACATGGAAAGATACCCAGAGTAACCATTTATCTAAAAAGAAAAAAAGCAAGTTACAGAACAGTACACATAGCATGAATCCATCTGTGTGAAGGAAGGCAGGCAGACTTACAAACATATGCAGGAGGGAAACCTGTAATTTAAAATTTTATTCTTCATTTTTAGAATTTTTTTAATGAGTTTATATGATTAAAAACCTTTTTAAATAAAGGATTTAGTTGTGAAAAACAAAGAGCAGGTTCTATTCAACATAGGAATAACCTTCTCTGCCCAAGCTCTCTTTGAATACTTTCCATGAGAGAGACCACGTTACTTTATAATCCCATTGCCAAATAGCTGATTATCTCATTGCCAAATAGCTCCACTCATTGGAAAGTAATTTCCCACATTGAACAGAACTCATCTTTTCTTCATCTTCAGCCATGAGTCCTGTTTCTAAAGCTGTGCTGTCCAACTACAGTAGCCACTAGCCACACAGGGCTATTAGGCACTTGAAATATGGCTGGTCCAAATTGAGATGTGCTGTGAAATGTAAAATATATACCAGTTTTCAAAACTATGTCATGAAAAAAAGAATGCCAATATCTCATTAATATTTAATACTGCCTGAATGCCAAAATATTTTAGATAGATCAAGTTCAATAAAGTACATTTAAACTAATTGTACCTGTTTCTTACTTGTTAAATGTGGCTAATGGAAAATTTTTAATTACATATATATTTCACATTATATTTCTATAGGGATAGCACTGTTCTATAGGACACTACTTCAAATAATTATGGAAAACTACCATGACAACCATTACTCTCGCTCTCATTCCCCAACAGGGCCATCAGGATATACAAGAAGCTCTACCTTAACAGGAACAGATCACACGGGACTAGAGACGTGATGTGTGAGCTAGGTTAGAACAGACTCAAGAGTCATGTGCATGAGCACTCAAGCTGTGACAGTGGATAACTGACTTGGGGGCAGAAAGACCCAAGGAGAGGTGAGCCTTAGGGACACCTGGAATGTGGTAAGCAGAAGGAAGGAGTTATTGAAGCAGATTTAAAACATAAAATGTTGAGATTAGAAAACCAAAAAAGCACTCTGTTATGGACTGTGTTTAAGGAAAGGCTGGTGACAAAGGTTTCAACCTACACAGCCCTTACTTAGCAAGACCTTCAAGAACTGCTGGCAGGAGGGGTGACTTCTGAGCCTTCTTCAATATTCTGAAGTAGGTTACAAACACAATATTCAATGTCTCTGTGTGCTGTCAGGAGAAACAAAATGACTTTAGTATAACCTAGTATACTTTCTCCTGAGTTACCAAAACTATGATGCTCAAAGCTCAACCTTTTTTGTCCCTTCCCATCCCTCTCCACATTCAATCTGAGGAGGTTCAATAGAACACAGTGAAGAAACGCATACTGACTCCACAAAGCTAGCATGGATCACATCACCATTTTGCCACAACTTAGCCTCATGAAGTAAACCCAAATTTTACACCCGCAAGTTGAAACATAAATCTCTAGTAAAAATAATTTAACAAAACACTGTAAAAGTCTAAAGAATGTGAAACTGCTTACCAGTTTAAGTTTTTTCTCAGTACTCTCTGAAGCTTCTGCCTCCCGAAGCTCTCGCTCTAGTTTCTCTTCTGCTTTCTTCCACTGACAAGATGAGAAAGTGAGAGGATGTACCATTGAGTGGAAAAAGCAAGCTTCAAAGTGGCCTAATATGTAAATATTATCAAACACATACAATAATACCATAGGTTGTCATCTATGAATACAAATATAGCAAAAGCAGAAAACATGGATAAGAAGCATAGACAAACCAAACATAGGACAGTGGCTGCCCTTTGAGATTGGGGAAGGGAACAAAGGGGATTCCAGCTCTATCACTGATGATTTCTTTCTTTCCAAGAAAAAAAACTGAAGTATGTCTATTAACATTTGCTCATTCTGAATAGTGGATACCTGTGATATACTATATTTGGCTCTAGTTTTTTATAATTTAAAATTTTTCACATGCAAAAAAGGAGAACATGCTGAGCCTAGAAATTAATTCTTGTTAAAACATCTATAACATGGAAACCAGTCATGAATACTTCCTAAACCCATTTATTTACAAGGCATGAAACCAGACACCATATAGAAATTCAATAAATATCAATTTTTCCACTTCCTTACACTGTAAGAGCAAAATGATGGTTGCTAAGCACCACTTAGTTATTAGAAGCTGACTGAGGAATAAATTTCCTTCCCTCATGTGAAGTTCATCAACAGTGGCCATCTTCTTATTGGGTGTTTGTGTCCCCACCACAGCTACATATATGCTGTTCCTAACTTGGATATCCAATTTATAGTAGGATTTACCATGGTATAATTAAAATATTTACCTTTATTTGCTTATAATTATCAAGCCTACCTTGATATTTCTGTCATGTTTTCAAAATCTATAGACACATTCAAAGATGGGTATTTTTGGAAATTATTTGTTTTGTTTACATAAGCAATTTGATAATCCTAATAAACTGTTTAGAAATGTTTTGAAAAGTGGTAATGATGGTGGTGGTAATTAATGTTTTTAAAGCATGAATAGTATTTTGCACTCTGCTAAGAGCTTTACATATATTATTTAACTGCACAAGGACACTTCAAGGTAGATGCTATTATTAGCTCCATATTTCAAAATTTTAAAGAAAAAATGTTTCCAAAGTCTTACAGTAAGTAAACAAGGAGCTGGAATTTCAATCTAGGTTTCAAATACAAGCTAGTAAAGAAATGTGATTCAATAAACAAAAACCCACTTTGTGGCCAACTTTATATGAATGTGTCGTTTCTGTTAAGGAAGAAATCTGTGTATCACAATGAATCTAAGATGATCTAAAAAGCCAAAGAATTAAAGTCAGCATGGCAAGAAAATCTTTTAATCTACTGCTCTCTGCCACTTAATGGTCAGTTTAATGATTCAACAAAATATTTATCTGCAGTAACTGGGAAAAATAAAGTTCTCTAAATATTAGGTTTTAAAATATTTGTCTTTATGATTTACTATAAATTTTACCTGGGCCTATCCTATGATTTAATCTTAAACCAAGTAAAATAAGAAAGGAAATAAATCAAACCTTTCTCTGCATTCTTGATAGAGTTTTTCTCTTCTCCTTGAAAGTCATGAACTTTTTTGGTTTATTAATATCATCTGTATCTTTTTTCACTTCTACTTCCTTGATTCTTAGGCACAAGAATGATTTTAACATCTAATATTCAAGTAAACACAAATACACAGCTTAATATTTATGCTGCCCTCAAAATCTTTATACAGAAAAATCAGCACTTAATAATGTTATTTCCTCTCTACATGTAAAATTAACTCTGCAACATCTTTTTATCACATTTTACACTAACTTATATTATCCTTTTGCTAAACATATTTGACAATTTGTGTCCATCAAAGGAATTAGTATTGGGCTAAATACACAGTGCTATTTTATAGTTCAATGAATACGAGGGCAAGAGAACACCTGGTACTGGGCATGCTCTGTGCCTTTTATCAGTAATGCCTACTCTGACCAGTGCCATTCTACCACGTATATCTGTATTTAATGTATACATACTGTACTATAAACTATAAATATAAAGCTACAAGTGTTAATACTATATTACTTGTAGGAGATCAGTAAATCAAACAGAAAAGAGTTCAGAAATAAATTTTGTGTAGAAATTTAACCTAAAGACAGCATTTTACATCAGCAGCAAAAGGAAATTGGTACTGGAATAACTGGCTATCCATTTAAGAAGATATATTTATATATATATACACACACATATATATATATACACATTAGATCTGCACTTATACTGTACACACAAAGATACTTATGGAGATTAAATATTTAAATATAAAAATTGAAACTCCCCTAGAAGAAAGGAATGTATAAATCTTGGATTGAGGTGGCTCTAAGAATGACAAAAATAAAACCTCACATGTAAGGGGAGAAAAATGACAGAGTTGATTAAAATGTAAAACTTCTATAATGCAAAAAAGACTACAATACAAAATTATAAGACAGGGCAGCAAGTATTTACAACTTAGGTAACAAAGACTTGAGGTCCTTACTACGTATGTAATTAATACAAGTTCAACAAACACACAGAGCTTTTATTTCTTTTGTTCACTGTCTTATCTCTAGGACCTAGAACAGTGCCTAGTACATAGCTAATATTTATTGAAATGAACACAAAAAAATGATTACAAGTCATTAAGACAAGTATTGGAAGAAAAAATTGATAAACAATACAAACAGGGAAAATATTCAGATGACTAATAAATATATGAAAAGAAGCAAAACCTCCCTAATAAAGCTTAATAAATAATAAACCTCACTGAATAATTTTGTTTATACCAATGTGTAAGCAAAAAAATTCATATTATATATATATATATATATATATATATATATATAACTTTCTTGCCTACCAGACTAACAGATTAAATAGTAAAAATATTCAGCATTGATTTGGGTGGGAGGGAAATGATACTCCTATCACTAGTGAGAACATAGGTAATAAAATGGTTTTAGAGGAAAATGTAGCATTATCTCTCAAGTTTTTATGTGTGTATACTGCTGGATCCACTACGTATGCTTTAGAAATTTAATGCACAGACTACTCACTTAAGCACTAAAAAATTAATATGATCAAAATGTTCTCTTCCACCAACTACAGCAGCAAAAATCTAGGAACAACTTAAGTGTCTGTCATGTGGGAGGCTATATATCCACGTAATGGCAAACATTAAAAAGAATCGGATAGCCCTATACATAAGTCCATAAAACGTAAAATGATGACAGCTCCAGAATAGTTTTTATAGCATAAACCCATTTTTTTTTTAATTTTATAAAATGTACATCACAGTGGTTCAACAGTCCCCCTCCCCACCCTTAACCACAGCACTCCCCTCCCCCTTGGTAACCAGTAGTCACTTCTCAGTGTCTGTGAATCTAATGCCTAAACCCATTTTTTTAATTCTAAAATATAAACAAGCATATATGTCTCTATCAGCACAGAAAAACATTCATAACAACACAGCAAACTGTTGGCATGGTTACATATTAGGAATTGTGTACTTTCACTTTCCACTTTATACTTCTGTAAGGAATAAATTCCTCATAACAACTGAAAATTAACTTTGTAATTAAAACAAAATAAAATGCAGAGTAAGAAAAGAAAGGCTTACCTCTGGCCTAACGTCATAATTTCTGCCCTTCACAAAACCAGAAATCACTTTAATTACTCCAAGGGAAGCTTGGCCCAACTTATCTTGTTTGAAGAGTTTCTTTACTGCCTCACAACACATCTCAGATATCTGAAAAATTCAGTGTTACACTAACCCAGTGTTTCTCAACCTCAGCCCCACTGGCATTGTAGTGGGGGCTGCCAGTGCACTGCAGGATGTTTAGAGCCCCTCTGGCCTTACCCACTTGATGCCTGCCCACCACCGCAGTCATGACAATCAAAAATGTGTGGAGACACAGTCTAATGTTCCCTGGAGGACAGAACTGCCTCTGTTCAGAATCACCATACTAAATGTTCTTAAAGAGACAGTGTTTAACAAAGTGACCCGATTTTAGCAATAAATAATAGCTCCAAAAGCATTCTGAGAGAGGAAAAATAATAATATTAATCACTTGGTCTACCATTTCCTTTAAGGACAATAGCAACAGCTATCTAGAGCAACCCACCGATTTTGACACATCATTCATGAGTGGGACAATCAATACAATGATATTGTTGTGAAAGTTGAAATGAGGCAGTGCCACCAACAGCTCACACAGGCTCTTCACAGCCACTTCTGCCAGTCCCTTGTATGCTTTTAAGGAAACTACATTACTTTTCTTCAGCTTCCTTTGCTTCCAGTCTAATCAAAAGATAACTGTAGTTATTTACTAATTGGTCAAAATTTCAACAAATTAGCTTTCTTTTACAGTGACAGGCAATAATATGAAAACTCAATACACCACGAGAATTCTTAAATGTGAGTTGTGTCTACACTTACGCACAAATACTAATGTTATCATTAAATTTTTTTTACCATGATCTACCCTTTGACTCTAACCACAATTCCAAATCTTAGCTTTCCAAATTTTAAAAGATGTATCATTAAATGAAAAGGTTCCCCAGGGTAAAAAAAAAAGAGGTGGGGAGGGTCAGGGAGCTGGACACTTTAAAGGAATCCTTGGGCTGGGCTCCACCAAGGTTTACTTAAAAATACCTGACTGTAAGTCAAGAAGCTTAGGTTCAAATCCTAGTCATCCTCTAACTGGCTGGTGAATACAAGTAAGTCCCAGACTCTCTGAGCCCCAGTCTCTTTAGTGTTCCCAAAATCCCAAGAATCTAAAATAGAGTTTCTCCTGACTTCTTGCTAACGCTGACCTATGGTATCTTTAACCAACAGGCCCAGAAGAGGTTTAAATTCTCCTTCAAAATAATCGCAGTTCTAAGTGCTTTGTAGCTACTAGTTAATTTACTTCCCACAATAATCCTATGAAGTAGGTACTATTATTATTCTCATATTATAGGTTAAAAAACTGAGGCACAGAGAATAAGTCATTTGCCCATCAAAACGGTGAGCCAGGATTTGAACCCAGGAAGTCTGACTCTACACTGCTCTTGACCATAGTCTGTATTGACTCTTAATACCCAGCAGAGAATACAGAATTCACCTTCCTGACCAAAGCTAAGTATGTTACATACTTTTAAGACACATTTAATATACCTTTAACCGTTTGCTCCAGATCTTCCAAATAAAATTTGTATTGACTAACCAAGCCTTCTTCAAATTCTCTTAACTTTTGGGTTTCTTTGCGAATCTGAAAAGATGAAAAAGATCCATCATTTTTTTAAATCAAAATATTGAAATCCTTAAATTAGCATAAAATATGAGTGCCCAGTCCTGTACAAACAAACAATAAAAACCCCTAATATTTATTACATCTCTAGCTCTCCAACATTTTCATCTTGCGTGGTAATTATACCTAACATTACCTTGATAGATTTTTCTGTTTCTGTAAGGGGTCGTATTTTGTATGAAGGAGTAATGTCTTTAAATAACTCCATCAGAGAAATGATCACCAGCTTTCGAATAGTAACAGCCACATCAGGATCCTGTTCCATCAGCATGGAACGTAATTCTTTCAATTTCTTAACCTGTTAAAGAAATAAGAAATAAGGCTAGAGAAACCATAGCAAAACAAATATGAACAAAAGACAACAGCAATACTCAGAGTCTAGTCAAACCATATGCCACTCCAGGCACTACTTACATTACCAACAGATAAATCAATAAAGCTATAAGTTAATCATATTTCTGTTTAAGTAGTTAGAAAAAATACAGATTGAAAGAAATAATTTAAATCTGTTAATTTACCTACTTTTAGAAATTATTTTTTATTGGGTTTTCTTAAAGCATGTGTGTCCCACTTCCCTAAAAACACTTTTTGAAATATACTAAAATGTTATATATACTAAATATATTAATCACATCCACACAAATTAATGAGGAATTAAATATAATGTATCTACATTAATTTGCTTCGAGACTCCTACAAAAACATCACTCGATGTAATGCAGAAGTGAAACACGGGTTTCAACAAATGTGCTTGCTTTGGTGCAGTACTATTGTCTGCTGGAGTGATAGCTTAAGAAACAATGCTCAGATTGGTTAGGAGTGTTTGCCACAGCAGAGTAAAGGCCAGAATGCCACCACCAACGATTTGCTATCCCTAACATGTATGAAATGAGCATGAAGCTTCAGAGTTGAAAGATCAGGGTACTAACTTAGTCGATGTTAAAATCCAAAACAAATCACTTGAATTTTTTAAGGCTCAATTTTTCGATTGTTAAATGAGATCACTAGTTCTTGTCTCTATGGTTTTATTATGACTAAATGACAATACAAGTGAGTATTCCAAAATCCCCTCCTTGATAATGCTCCAGATTTTCCCCTCATTTTATTAAAAAAGGCCAATTAATATTCCAAAGAATACCCATACGTAATTTTTCCTACAAACATAAGTAAACTATTATTTTGTTCAATAAACAAGTATATGTCATGGTAGGTGCTGGAAACAGCAATATAACAAGAATAATGGTACCACTTTATATGACTTCATGTATATCTTATCATTCAATCCTGAAAACAGTTTTAAAGTAGGTACCATCCTCTTTTGAGAGATGAAGAAAATGAATCTTGTGTAAAACAGCTTACCCAGAGCCTAACAGAGCCAAGGCAGAACCTCAGGTTCTTGAGTCTAGGTGATATAACTATCACCACCTGCCCCACTGTACCCATGGTGCATTGATAATTTATTACAACTCTCTGGTCTATTTCACTTAAAATATTTCCCACTTACAAGTATTACTGAACCAATTTCAATGATTTCTGTGTAGCATGTTCCTTATTAAAAATTCTATACGTAAATCAAGCAAATTTGCAAGTAGGTTCCTCCCCCCAGTACAATTAATTTTTACACTTAACGCTTTTGGAGTTACAACACATAAGTCCAATATCTTCTTTTTCAGCTGATGAAAGTAAGACTCAGAGATTTTCCATGACTTTTCTAAGATCACTGAAGAAATTAAGTTCAGATGTATTGGCTAAGGTTCTGTCTACTTTCTTATTCTAATTAAACTACTACGTTTTGTTAATGCTTCTCCTTTTTTGTGTGTGCTTATAGGTAAAAAGATTACCTTAAAATATTAGACATTTACACCACATCTAATATGAAGAGTCCAAAGAAATTAGTACTACTTACATTACTTTCTGGATCTGATAATATGGCAGATGCCAAGGCGGCAATGCGCATCTTCTTCGCTTGCAGTTTCCTCTTTCTCTCAATTAAATGTTCTTCTAATGTCAGCTCTTGAATGGGATCTTCAATTATCTCTGAAACGGGTTAGGTTTCCCCTCTTAAACATTTCTGCGTTTACAAGTACCCAAGAGCCTTAATTAATAAAATAATTTTTTCATAGTAATGGGAAATAATAAGAATAAGCTAACTTTGAGCACTTGCCATAGGCCAAGATTACTACATATCATCCTCTCAAAATTCAAGAGGAAGATGCTATCACTAGCCCCATTTTATAAATAAGGAAGCTGAGGTAATGGGAAAGTAATTTGCCTAAGCTTATATACCTGGCAGAAATGGGATTCAAACCCCAGCAGTCTGACTTGAAAGCTTAATATCCTAAAATACTATGCTAAAAAAAAGCCATTAAAAATTCTATACGTAAATCAAGCAAATTTGCAAGTAGGTTCCTCCCCCCAGTACAATTAATTTTTACACTTAACGCTTTTGGAGTTACAACACATAAGTCCAATATCTTCTTTTTCAGCTGATGAAAGTAAGACTCAGAGATTTTCCATGACTTTTCTAAGATCACTGAAGAAATTAAGTTCAGATGTATTGGCTAAGGTTCTGTCTACTTTCTTATTCTAATTAAACTACTACGTTTTGTTAATGCTTCTCCTTTTTTGTGTGTGCTTATAGGTAAAAAGATTACCTTAAAATATTAGACATTTACACCACATCTAATATGAAGAGTCCAAAGAAATTAGTACTACTTACATTACTTTCTGGATCTGATAATATGGCAGATGCCAAGGCGGCAATGCGCATCTTCTTCGCTTGCAGTTTCCTCTTTCTCTCAATTAAATGTTCTTCTAATGTCAGCTCTTGAATGGGATCTTCAATTATCTCTGAAACGGGTTAGGTTTCCCCTCTTAAACATTTCTGCGTTTACAAGTACCCAAGAGCCTTAATTAATAAAATAATTTTTTCATAGTAATGGGAAATAATAAGAATAAGCTAACTTTGAGCACTTGCCATAGGCCAAGATTACTACATATCATCCTCTCAAAATTCAAGAGGAAGATGCTATCACTAGCCCCATTTTATAAATAAGGAAGCTGAGGTAATGGGAAAGTAATTTGCCTAAGCTTATATACCTGGCAGAAATGGGATTCAAACCCCAGCAGTCTGACTTGAAAGCTTAATATCCTAAAATACTATGCTAAAAAAAAGCCACAATAATTCCTATTAATTAAGGGAAATTGCAATCTGATTTAGTTAAAAAAGGTACAGAATTCTCTCCTGTTTTCAAATATATACAGTTCTTTGAACAACACAAAAATATGTCCACCTTAAGAAATTCATTGGGAACTAGTTAATTAATATATGAGCATAATTTGTAATAAGCCTATGAAGCAAGACTAAATACAGTAAGTAGCTGACCTGTCTTATTTACCCTATTAATGAGGTTTTCAAAGTCAAAGTAAAATTTAACCAGCTTATTCTATCACAAATTCCAAACCAATGTATTTTCAAACAATAAAATATATTTCAGTTTAACTGATTAGAACTGTTCTATAGGTAGTAGAAACCCACATTCAATTATCTAAAACAAATGTATAGGTTCAACAGGGTGGGTGAAATAGGTGAAGGGGATAAAGAGGCACAAAATCTCCATAACACATTTTAGTCACAGGGATAAAAGTGCAGCATGGAGAATATAGTCAATAATTCTACAACATCATTCTATGTTGACAAATAGTAACTACACCAGCTGGGGTGAGCATTTAATAATGTAGTTAACTGCTAAATCATCATGTTGTATACTTGAAACCAATATAATATTGTGTATCAACTATAATAAAATACAATAGTAAAAAATAAAATGTGACTACTAGAAAAAGATGTTTTAATTAAAAAGTAAGACAGACATATGTAAGTATAACTGCTCTAAGAAAGAACCAAAATGATTTCATACCACAGAATTGTTTTTGTAATTTAAAGTTAAAAAGTAGTAAGCAGGCCCTTCACTTACAATTCAAAAGAACTCAAAACAGTAACAATTTACAAGACTCCTCATACATGCCTAGACATTACAAACATTGCATGAAATTTTCCCTAATAAAAAGCAACAAAGAATCAAATTCTACAAGTTGAGACTTTCAAAATGTGGGAAAATGTTCAAAATAACATAGTAATGACCAGTACTCCAATATACACATTCCAGATTTTATCTAAAATTAATTCACATTTATCTATGCAAAAAAAAAGGAATTTTCAATTAACAGTTTGGTAACTCTAAAGACGCATCCCATTACCTTCCTTAAGTTCCATCTCATCCTCTTCGTCTTGGGAACTTTCAATAACTATATAGAAAATATGTGCATAAAAATTTGGTAATATACTTAAGTGGTAAAACTACAATGAAAAGCAGGGAAATGATTATAGAACACTCAAGAAATTAAGTTATTTTTGTGAGCAGGGAGCAATTTGTGGTTGAGGGGAGCACAAAGGAAGCGTCTGACTGCTGGCAGTGTTCATTTCTGCCCAATGGCAGTTTATGGTTTTGTTTTTTGTGATAAACCACGTAACTTCACATCTTTGATCACTGGATTTTTCTAGCCAAAATCATTCAAGCTTGCTATGTGACTAAATGTAGCTATCTCCATGGATAAGTCAAAGTCACATTAAAATTTGAACGGAAAGATATATATATATATACATGTGATGACACTGTTAGGGAGCTAAAACTGTAATACACTGGCTGAGTAGATTCACCTGGCTTCTCCCTGGTCTGTGGGATTACACCACTTTTATCTTTGATAGGAAGCAAGTGAATCAGTTCCTTCTCTGGTGCAGTTTGCAGAGGTCTTGGTATTTTTTCATATTTGTCTATAACACGTTCATGCTTTCGTTTCTTGGAGTGAACAGGCTCACTGTAGAAAATACTCATTTTCAGTTTAATACATTTAAAAAGGAACCTAAAGACCTATCATTTTAAAATTACAGAAAAAGAAAGTACTACCCAAACCTCCCACAGGGATGTCTATTAGCACCCAGACCAGGCACATGTCAGGCACACCAACAGTTAATGTATAAATGAACTGTATAGTCTACCACACTCAAACTATGGCAACATCTAATTTTCCCTTCAGATGTAAAGGAAATGCAAAAGTTACAGCAGACTCTTTTTGAAGAATATTCCACAGAGCTAAGGATGACATCACGCAATTTTACTTTCCCCAAAACCTTCAGAGCATAATATGGACTTCGAATAAAAAGATCGTAAGTTTAAATTTCAAATACAGTATTTGTGTTGTGGGGTAATATCAGTTCCCTCTCTGTTCCTACCTAACAGGGTAACAAGAATTGAGGTCATGGCCATAAAGCACTCAGGACTGCTCTGCCAATTCCTCAGAAAACAGCATTCTTCCTCCCATGCACTCCACTTCACTATTCAGACTCAAAAGAAATTAAGATGTGCACGAAACAAAATCAGCTTGTTTATGCATGACCTTCCTTTATTTAGGAAATAAGCTGACTAATAGGATTTACTCTTTGTAAACATTACAGAGCTGAACATGTTGCACTAACCATCTATGTAAAATTCAGAACCAAGTTTTTAACACTGAAAGATGTGAGTGATTATTATTTAAATGAAATATTACCTAGAAGAAAGATCTCTTGTTAGAAAAGATGCTCTCTGTCCTAAATCCTTCATTAACTGTAAGTCATCTTCATCCATCATATCCAAAGGAAGGGCTTCCTCTTCTTCCTCCTCTTCCCGCTCAATCCTTTTAGCTGTTTCACAGGTGGGAAAAAAGCAACTAAGTATTAGAGATACCGAATTCTGCTCTTGTTGTTTACAGTAGGAAAAGTTTATGCTTTTCTAATACCTTAGCCCAGTGTTTCTAAATGGGACACTAAAGACATACTGATCAGAACAATTCTTTGTCATAGTGGGCCATCGTGAGAGAGGTAAAATGCTAACATCTCTGACCCCCACAATCAAAATGTCAGAAGCCTTCCCAGGTCACTGGAATAACCAAAGAAAAAATGTCTACACATTCTGCAGTATCTTTCAGAGCACTTGAGCGTTAGCATTTCAGAGCATCTGATTTCGCCCCTTAGCTCCTTCTGTTCTCCAATGACTCTCCTTTCCATTCCACTTCAGCCACCCCCTCCTAGGACCACACCCCAAACCTTGGTGATCACCCTATTCTCTGACCTTTTGTCCTTCCAGCTCTCAATCAGTTATTTCCACTGCACTTGTTTGACCAATTATAGAGACGTTCAGTCCTTTGCCACTCTACTTTCTACTAACCAATGTGTTCTACCTTCACTCCCTTGTTTAGATTGCCTGATTATCACTTCAACCACCCTCCTGCCAATATCCTCAATGACTTCCTTTCTACAGGTTAGGCGCTCATCTCTAAAAACCCCACCTATTGTTCATTCTAACTTCTCTCACTGTCCCTTGCTCACCTTCTCCATATATTTCTTTTTTTAATAACAAAAAGAATGCCAACTAAGTGCCAAGCACTGTTCTAAGTGCTGAAGATTCAACCATGAACAAGACAATCTTGGTGTCTTCCCTAACAGACCTTGAAATTCTTCTTGACTCTAATAACACCCGTAAATAGTGCTATATAAATGTACTCACTGCACAGAATGGAACTACTTTAAATGAGCCTGCTACTTCTCAAAACTGAGCAACAATTATTTATTTCCCTGGTTAGTTCTCTTTCCTAGAATTCCCTTTCAAATCTTTTACCCATCATCACACTTCTAATCTCATCACCTACCTCACCTCATAATCATCAGAGGACCTTCCTTGCTTTCTACACCACTGAGAAAAGAAAAAACTGTAAGCTAGAAACTCCTTCAACTTCCCACACTGAATTCAACAGCATTTACAACCCTCCTCCTGTTTTCCTCCTCATAACATTGGAAAAGGTGCCTCTCCTGTGCCCTGGCTCCCAATAACTCTTACCTTCTCTTGCCTCATTCTATCATTTAATCTCTCTCTCCAGTATCTTCAAACTCTCCAATCTACTGACCTCATTATATTAGTATTTTTAAATGGTCAAGTCATTTTCCAGTGGGCAATTTGTCAGTATCTCACCAAAATTTAAAATGCATTCTAACACTAAACATCCATACAAGAGAAAAATATGCAGCTACTAAAAAAACTTGAATAAAGTAGGAAGTGATAATAATTACTTCATTTGTTGAATAGATCTTGCAGATCATATAGAACATTCCTCTACCTCAGTTTTAACAGCTGGATAGTATTTCACCATATGCATGTAACATTTATAGCATTTAATGATTACTTGTTGATAGATATTTTGATTATTTTCAGTTTTTGGTGGTAGTGTTTGTTTTTGATATTCATAGCATTGTAATGAACATGCTTGGACATATATATTCTTGGCAAATTTTTCCAAATACAATCATAGGATGAATTCCTAGCAGTGGGATTGCTGGGTTAAAGGAAAGTCCATTTCTCTTTTTAAAATCCTTCCTGTGACAGTTTATATGGTTTATGAATACATATATTTGTATTTTCCCCTTTTTATTCAAATGGTATAAGCCTATCATACATGTGGTGACAGCCTATAATTTCAAGTGGGTAAAAGCTGCAATACACACTACTTTCACCCTGTTTTTTTTAAATTAATAATTTATTAGGTAGACTATTTCATGTTAGACCATAAAAAGTCCTTCTTTTTTGAAACACTCTTCTTTTGATTTCTAAGACACTTTACAATTTGATTTTCTTCCTAATTATATGGCTCCTTCTCACACCCCATTACATATTTTTCTTCCTCCAACCATTTCTTAAATGCCAGGGCACCTTAAAATTCTGTTCTATGTTCTAGGTTTATTTATTCTTATGCACACAGTCTCCATGGTGACTTTACTCAAGTCTAAGGCTTCAGTTACCATCTGTATGCTGATAATTCCCAAAACCATTCAAACTCAAATCTTTCATTTCAGCGTTATACTCTTATACCTAGTTGCCTGATAGACTTCATTTAGATGCCCAATATGTAAGAATGAAGAAATCTTTTGCTTTCAGTATGTAATTATTAACACATCATGTTTTTAAAAAAATTCTGCTGAAATTTAGAGAAGAGATCTCAAAAAGCATCCAACCCAGCTATCACATTTTTTTACAGATAAAGTTCCTGGCACCTAAGTGACTGATTATATGGTCATATTGCTATCAACTTCTCCGACTTCCAGTCCAACGACCTTACACATTACAACAACATATAGCCAAAGGATCAAACTAAATAGGTCAGGATTAGGAGAATGAGATGGACATTGAAAGACTGAATAGTCGGATACAGTCAACTATCTATGAATACTACTGAGCATACGAGTAACACTGTAGACCTGGTCTGACTCAAAATGGTCATATTCCTTTCCTGTTTTGAGTACTTGAAGTTCTTGGATATTCTCACAAAAGAAAAGCTCTGACAATTACAGCTCAATTTCACTCCAAGTACCCAAGTGAAAAGCAAGCCAGGAGCTGAGAAAACTAAGGGAACCTTGGCAACACCAGAGAAAAGCAGTGTTCACACCTTAGCTAACTGCCAGTGAATGGGAAAGTGGCAGCACTAACATGCTGTCAACACTTAGTTACACAGCCACTCTGTTTTCCTATGTATTTTACCTTCAGATCTGCTCTCTAGACAAACTAAAAGCTGAGGCTAACTCTCTGTCACAGTGAATACTTAAGATCTGCTCTCTAGACAAACTAAAAGCTGAGGCTAATTCTGTGTCACCATGGAAACTGTAGTGAAATGTTTTCTCATACTGACTGTGATAAAGCAGATAGGGGTATCATTCTTAACTACTCTTAGGAAGATTTGAGAACAAAAAGATTACTACTAAAAGCAATGTTACTGCATGAAGAACATCTTAGAACAAATCAATGGAAACTAAAGCATTGCTTTCACAATTACCTGGTCGTTTTTTCTTCGGGTCCTCCAGTGGAATCGGCTTCTTAGACACAGCATCTTTTACGGCTTGCCTTAGTTTCCTCTGTTCTTTCCGGTATTTCTTGAGAGTGCTTTGTTGCTTAAACTGCTTATTTTTTAGCTTGTTTTCAAGTTTGACTTTACTAGTTTTTAGCAATTTCCGAAAACTTGGGACCTGTTTTTTATTTCTTCTCTAGAAAACAATAGAAGGAGCTGCATACCCTGAAATTTAACTACTTTTATTTTTAAAATCAGGTTATAGAGAATTGACCATAAATTTCATTAGACCAATTCCACAATTTTAATGTCACATAGCCATGGATCTTCATACAGGAGTTAAACCAAACTATGGCATTAAACCTACACGATGGCACTATAGTATCAGTTATTCAAAAAGGAGGGAAAGAGGCTTCTTGTGACCACAATTCACAGCTGTTCAGAGGAGTCTAAGACCCCAGAAAAGGTTAAGAAACAATGATCTAGAGATAAAATGGTTATTCAAGGCTACCTTAACACCTGTACTTTAGCATACTCAGAGCAAATGCCGGTTGTCAGTAAAATAAGTGACATTTGCATATTGCCTTACTGTTTACCAAGTGCTCCAACATATTATCTACAAGCAATGACGCCTGCTATCCACACAATATACACGAAGAAGCTAAGAATCAGAATTTTTGTGACTTGTCATGACCGCTAAGCTAAGGAGGGCAAAACCGAATGCGGGTCTTTGGAGTCCACCTATTGCCCTCTCATTAGAAATCCAACTCCCAGCTCTAATGTCCTGTTAAAAACTGGAGCAAACCACTTACTTCCCTATATCCTTACCCTTTACGGGTCCCATGACCCATAAACTTGAGGACAGGACCCTGCTTCTCATCTGTAAAATACGGGGCTCGAAAGATGGTCTTGAAGGACCCTTCAACGTCTGGCACACGATGGACACAAGCCTCCTTGCTTGCCTCATCGGGGCCCCCTGAAGCCAAGCGAGCGGACAGTGGGTGATGAAGGAAGGGCCAGGTTAAAGGGCCCGGGGACTGACACCGCGGAGAGCAAGAGAGCCAGCAAGGAGTCCTGAATCTAGGCCACCGCCCACTATGCAAGGGTGAAAACGCGCCGCAAAGGTCTACCAGCCAGCAACTGTCAGCCAGAGATGTTCTAAGTCGCGGGGCCAGGGCTGCTGAGAACACTCACCGCCTTCATCCTTAAATCTGTCAGGCGTTCACCCGGGTTAGGGGTAACACAAGCACCCCCAAGAAGACACCCACGTGCTGAAGCCGGGGATCTACGCGGGCCGGAAGCTGCCGCTGGCCCCGCCCCACGTACCGCCGCCGGAAGTTGAGGCGGGACTTCCGGTCACAGGTTCGGATGCGCGCGCTCTCTCCGTGGCGGTTGCGCGGGCCTGGGTTGGTGACACTCGGGGCTGCGGATTGCGCGGGCCGAAGGTGGGTGGCCCCGGGCGGCTGTACAGACGTCTGAGTCAGACTCTTGTCGGGTTTCCTTGGTCTTGGGGAAATAGGGATCCTCCTCTCAGAACGAAAGGACTGGATTTTTGCAGTCACCTTAGTGCACTCTGTGCCTCTCCTCGTGTAGCCGATCTCATCTTTCTGTTGTAGATAGTGATTCCTGTCCGTTTTTCTCCGTAAAGTATTGAGGGCAGAAAAAAGCTTACTCCTTTCGTATAATGCCGGCCCTCTGGCTGTGTTTGTCGAAGGGCGAATGATTTCCATGACTTTCCGGCACTCGAAAGTGTAATTCTTACTGTTTTTTTAAAAAACACTTTTTGCAAGCCTCCACAGGGATCCGGACGATGCTGCGGTTGTGGCTGCATCCAGCCCACCGTCTCCTGGACTTGCCATAGGAATGAGGAGGGAGATGTCTAGGCTGGCATGTGCATACAGTGAGACAACGAATTTGACCGAATCTGTACTGTTGGAACCCAACCAGGAGTTGGGAGGGGTGCAAGGTGTAGCACTCCAAAATCTTATGACTATAGACTAGCTACGGTTAAAAGAACATACGGGATGTGAACAGATCCCAGAAATGGGCTGCTTTAATTTGTCTGATTTCTCTCAGACGGTTCAAGTACAGTTGGACCATATCCATCATATCATAGACAAATTTTCACAAATGCCTAGGGTGCCTAAATGGTTTTCTTGGCTTCACTGGAGATGGATGGTAATTATAGATTTGCTTTGTTTATGTCACCGTATTCCTATTAGGTTAATATG